AGAGTGTTGGGATTACAGGCATGAGCCATTGCTCCTGGCCTTCTTTTGGTATGTTTTAACATTTCCTTTTAAGTCAGTACTTCTTAATCTCTTTTGCACATGGATGTCACTTTGGGAGCTTGAGAACACACTAACACCTAGACCCCATATGCAGACGTTCTGATTTAATTGGCTTGGGTACAGCCCAGGGGTTGAGAATTGTAAAATACTCTCAGTTTATTATAATGTGTGGGGAAGGTTGCAACTCATTGATTTAACAGATCAATTTTAACCCACAATGTTGTGTTTGTCATACTACATCCCATGGGAGTTCCTGTAGATTTAGGTCATGTCACTATTTGTTGTACTGAATTTGATGATCAGGTAGTAGCAGAGCTCTCCTTTGTAACTGTATGATTTTTTTTCTTTGTAATTAGCAAGTAATTTGTAGGACAATATTATGACATTTTGGGAACATCCTGTTGCCCATGAGTCTAATGAGCATTGGTTTTAGTCTCCATTAGTGATCTTTGCTTGATTATTTCACTGATGTTTATAAAAGGCAGATTTTCTGGCGCCAATACGGCTGCCCCCAGGGAGAGGCGAGGCGAACGTGAAGGTGGAGAAAACAGACCCTACATTTCTCACTTATGGATCGCAGCGCAGAATTCCGGAGGTGGAAAGCGCAGTGTCTGAGCAAAGCGGACCTCAGCCACAAGGGAAGTGTGGACGAGGATGTGGTAGAGCTTGTGCAGCTCCTGAACGCGCAAGAACAGTTTTTCACCACCAGCTCCTGCACTGGCCGCATCCCGCATCCTCCTCCTAGATGGGGTGTGGGCCCTTTGTGCCTTTCCGGCCTCCCTCTGGTCCAAACCTTTAGAAACCTCGATCAGTGCTGTACCCAAGACAGCCTATCCGTTTGTCCCTCCAGATGTAAATGGTTTCGAGGTTCAGAAAAAAAAAACTGTTGCTGGCTACTGGTACACACAAGCCTTGTGTGAAAGATGATGTGATCGTAGCTCTGAAGAAAACGAATGGTGATGCACTTTTGAAATTCGAACTATTTGTTCTTCATGTGCAATGTCGCCAATTGCAGGATGCCCAAATTCTGCATTCAGTGGCCATCGACTCTGGTTTCAGGAACTCTGGCGTAAAGGTGGGAAAGAGAGGAAAGACCATGTTGGCTGTCCGGAGTACACATGGCTTCGAAGTCCATTAAGCCACAAGGGACAACTGATGGTGACAGAGGAAGATATCGACTTCCTATTAAACGTGGCAAATCAAAAAATGGAGGAAAACAAGAAAAGAATTGGAAGGTTTTATAACTGCCTACAGCATGCTTTGGAAAGGGAAGCTCTGAGTAACTCATACCCAAGATCAAGGAGAAAAGTCACCCATCATATACTCCTAAGAAAAAAAGAAACCCGGGTAAAGCGCATGGCAAAGGTGTTGCAGAAGAAAATGATGAAGAACTTGAAAATGATGGCGACTTATCCAGGAATCGATGAGAGCATCTTTCCTGAAGACTCGAACGTTTGGTTCTGATAGACTTTGTAACACTGCTCTTTATAAGAGTATTTTAGTCTGTTAAGTGTATTAGCTATTCAGAAAAGCAAAATTTGTGTATATTTTAGAGAAATCTATCTTATAAATGCAGATGGCTTTAAAAAATGGATTTGTATAATATTTGTTCATTAAATACTTCTTTTTTTAAGTTACCAAAAAAAAAAAAAAAAAAAAGACTGACTTTCTGTCTATCATTCTGCATTTAAAACTAGCCAGCATTCTTTTGTAAAGAGCTGTCCCTCATCAGCTGGGGATGAACTATAGTTCTACACAAAAAAGAAAGGTAAATGTCTAATTCTTGCCCTTGAATAACCGGTTTTCTGAATAAAAAGCTAGTGTAACTATCATCTCCAGTGGTAGCAAAAGAGTCCATCCCCCCACCCATTTTTCAAGCATCATTATAGATGTGTGGATTTTTACTTGTATGATGTATTCTTATCGATGCTCAAATTATCTCAAATTTGTCCAGGAGAAATTCCTTCAAGCTGCTCAGCTCTTTGGCATGCATTCAATTAGAGTGAGCATTTCCTTCCTTTGTGGTACACCATGATGTCCTGGGCTCACCTTAAATTTGCATGCCACAATATGGAGCCAATCATTTTCTCCAAGGAATTTCTTTTAATGTGGAACATTGCTATATATTTAGAAATTAGAAGTTGGACAGATGTTTATAGTTTCTGGGGTTTCATTTCATCTCCATCCAATGGGCAATAGAGGTCGGAAAGGATTTTAGAAATCATGAATTCATATTAAGTAATTTTTAAAAATTCACCTTATCGGCTTGGTGCCTGTGGCTCAAGTGGCTAAGGTGCCAGCCACGTACACCCAAGGTGGCAGGTTCGAATCCAGCCCGGGTCTGCCAAACAACAATGACGACTGCAACCAAAAAATAGCCAGGCGTTGTGGTGGGCGCCTGTGGTCCCAGCTACTTGGGAGGCAGAGGCAGAAGACTCACTTGAGCCCAGGAGTTAGAGGTTGCTGTGAGCTAAGATGCCATGGCACTCTACCCAGGGGGACAGCTTGAGGCTCCTGTCTAAAAAAAATAAAAATAAAAATAAAAAAATTCACCTTATCAATGTAGGGTTCCTAGAGGGGGTAGGATTTGATTGTCTCCTGGTTAGCGTGAAGAGAGGAGGTTGTGGAAGGAAAAGGTGAGGAATGATAACTTACAGAAAACTGACTTCCAAGCAAAAGGAAGAAAGGAAAGATACCAATGTTGTGGATTTATGTCCTGGCTCTGCCACTGTGTGACCTTACATAAATTGCTTTTCCTTTTTGAGTCTCAAATTTCTCCTTTGTCAGGTGGAGATGCCAATTCCCCCCATGCTTTCATCTGAAGTTATCTTCCATCTGAAGAGATACATACATCAAAGGAGATGATGACTACCATTTGTGATACTGTTATGGAGATATACACACATTTAGGTGCAGATACATGCACCCTGGGATGTGTGTGTACAAGAAAGTGGTAACAACAAATACCTAAGACATGTGAAGTTAGAAGTCAATGAGAGATTTTTCACTACGTACCCTTTTACATTATGTGAATATTTTTCTCGAGGACGAAAAAGACAATGTAAGTTAATAATCAATTTGAAAAAGCTTTATAAATCACAAAACAACACACAAATATTTACCAGGGGGTTATTATTACTATCGTCCACCAATAACAAGAAATCAAATACTGGGTTTTTGATTGTTTAATGGAAAAAGAGATGAATAAGTTAATTTGTTATACCCATCGTTAGAATATCAAGAGTCCATTTTTATTTTAATGATTACACTGTGGAGTAATCAATGACATTGAGAAATTATCAAGCTGAGTGGAAAAAAATATAACAATTGCACGGGTGAATAATTCCGATTTTGTGTGTTCCCTGTGTAAATGTACATACACAAAGACAAAAGAAACTGGAAGAAACAATCCACAGTCCTTTGACGGAGAAGAGGGGCGATATAAAGTTTCACTTTTTCTTAATGAAAAGTTCCACATTTTCTGCAATGAATTGATAAATGCTACTTGAAAAGGGAAAAGGTCACAGCTACACTTTCCAACTTCGTCAGAAAGAATTTTTTAAAACTTCAATTACAGTAATTTGTTGCAAGACGGGAGAGCAGAGGAAAGGAGGCAAATAGCCTGACCATCCCCACGTGGACTAACTCCAAGGAGAGGCGAGAGGGATGCAGTCCTCCCTGTGGCTAGAGCGGACACGAAGGGAGAGAGAAACTTCCGGGGCGGGGCTCGCCGTAGCTTCTCTTCCGAGGGAGGAGGTGGGGGCATGTGGGCTTCTTGCAACGTTGAGGTTCGCGATTGCTTGGCTGCAGTTTCCGTCACTCTGAGATGGTGTGTAAGGCTGGGGGCGACCATGGCAAAAAGCAAATTCGAGTACGTCAGGGACTTTGAAGCTGACGACACCTGCTTGGCCCACTGCTGGGTGGTAGTGCGGCTGGACGGCAGGAATTTCCATCGGTGAGCAAGCTCGGCTCGGGCCGCGTGGTGTGCCCGTGCTTCCGGGGACTCCAGCACCAGCTGTCGCAATCCCCCCTCCACTCACGGTCACCGGGGTAACGCGGCAGCCAATGAGTGCGCGGCACTGAGCATCGCCCTGTGTGTTGGCTCCCACTGTCAGGATAGTTGATTGGGGTGGGGGGATCCTCCTCTACTGAGGAGCGGGCTTGTAGTTCCCGTATTAAGTGAGTAGGGTTAGGGTTACCCTAACCCCAAGGACCTGATGGGAAAAAGTCACTTTCCGGCGTAGTACTTAAGCTCTTCAATCATTTGCCAGCCATTCTGTTAGCGATCTTTGTATGCTCCCTACTCACAGGCCCTCATAAATGTCCATTTTTAATTATCAGCCATAGGCCACATGTACTAGATTCAACAAAGAGAAAAAAAGGAGAAAAAGGTAATAGGAAAAAAGGAATTTATTCTGAAACTGTGTACATCTATTATGCATTAATTTTTTAAAAGATGGGAATTTAATTTTTAGAAAGGGCTGTTTTGTTATTAAGGATCATTGTAACCTTTACTGAGCACTTACTGAGAGCCATGCATAACATAATACTTACATTTGTTATATTTCCCCCCAAACCTTCAGGACAACCCTGTGAAGTAAATACTCCCCATTTCACAGAAAAGAGAATGGAAGCATAGCAGTTATGTCCCTTTTTCTCAGTTGGTCAGGGCAAGAACTGGAATTCTTAAGGAACTAGGTTGTGGCTAGTGGAGGGATTTGGTTTACAGTGCTGGTATAGTAGCATCTTTGAAGTCTCTGTGGTCTGTATTTTTAATAACAAGCTCACATTCATCCATGCCCCCTTCCCTCTTCTCTTGCCCCTATAAAGGTTTGCTGAGAAGCACCACTTTGCAAAACCTAATGACAGCCGTGCTCTCCATCTCATGACCAAATGTGCCCAGACTGTAATGGAAGAACTAGAGGATATTGTGATTGCATATGGACAGAGTGATGAGTACAGCTTTGTGTTCAAGCGGAAAAGCAATTGGTTTAAAAGAAGAGCCAGGTAATTCCATGATCTAGGTCCTTTCTTTAGAATATCTCCTGCCAGGATCTGGTTTTCTATTTATCTTAATAGCCAATTTAGAGTATAGATGATGTGGGCAGTGTTACCAACGCAGAGTGTATGTATATTTCCTATTTAGACTGTTGTCTTCCATCTGGCATCTCACCATTCAATAAGCCCCTTTGTCTAATTCTTTCCCCTTCATGCCCCATCAACTAAGTTTCTAGACTGACCTAGTATTGAACATTGAAATGAAAAAGAGACCATAAGAATGTAATATTAAAGATTCATAGTTGGCTTTAGCCAGTGACAATCTCTACATGCATTGCAGTGTTATTTCAACTTTTAAATAAGGAGGATCTCAATATAAAATAGACAAATCTAGGGTAGGCTTGGTGGGAGGCAGAGGCAGGTGAATTGCTTGAGTTCAGCAGTTCAAGACCAGCCTAAGCAAGAGTGAGATGTCATCTCTACTAAAAATAGAAAAATTAGCTAGTGTGGTGGTGCACACCTGTAGTCCCAGCTTGAGCCCAGAAGTTTGAGGTTGCTGTGAGCTATGATGCCACAGCATGCTAGCCTGGGGCAACAGAGTATGATATGGTCTCAAAAAATAAAGTAGACAAATCTGATGTTTGGTTTAGCAGTATTTTAAAACTCTTTACAAGAAACAAGTCATGTAATGACTTGGTATGCTTTTAAGTCTTCTTCTAAAACTAAAAGCAAAGCTCTTGAACTGTATATTTAAAATATCTACAGAGAAAAATCAGGTATTGGTAAATTACTTAGGACTGGAAGGCAAGGCAGGCTGCATTCAAAATACATAACTGAAATATTAAAAAATGTTTCTTAGCTAAATGCATTTTATCTCTAGGTTTGCTGAACAGTTTGTGTAATCTCTCTGTTGCACCCACAGGCCTTATCATGGTGTTGAATTAATACCATGTATTTTCTCTTTTCTTGTTCCACCCAATATGCCTTACATTTGCAAGTAAGTTCATGACTCATGTCGCATCCCAGTTCGCCTCCAGCTATGTGTTTTATTGGCGGGATTACTTTAAGGACCAGCACCTTCTATATCCCCCAGGCTTTGATGGAAGAGTTGTGGTGTATCCCAGCAACCAGATCTTAAGGGACTACCTCAGCTGGCGGCAAGCAGATTGTAAGTGACACCAAATAAACAGATGTAGTTAAACTGCCAGTTCTACACATTAAGGGTGTTGATCTGATACAGGTTTGGCTCACACGTATTTTGTATGGAATGCAGTAAATTTTTCAATTGGTTAAAAATAATTTGAAAAATTGGGAGAGTTCATGTAAAAACTCCCTATGTCCAAGTTTTTTTGAAAAATCAGAAGATGTGCTAATATTGGATCTAATTTCCACTTAGTATTGGACAGAGCCCATGCAATGGCAGCTGCCTTTACACACAAAGATAAACGCTCGCACAAGCCAGCGAGCTGCAGCCCCTGCCCTGCCCTGCCCTGCCCTATGCTCCCTGGGGCCACCTGCTACTTTATACAGCTTTATGTTCAGTGGGTGTTTGAGTCGTGACCCCCATCTTATGCCACTGTGATGATGTTTGTGAGACATTTATTCATTTACTATATTTTGATTTTCCCAGAACTGGAAAAGAGATGGGAATATATAAATAAAATAACTTTGAAAGTATTTCTACTACTAGTGTACACATCAACAAATTTATGTAAAGCATAACCGAAATGGCCAAATAAAACTGTTGTTAGAAAGTAAGTTTTTTTCTGCCTCTTTTCCTCATGTTCTCCATGTAACACTTTGGGCAAGTCACTAAACGATTCTGTGATCTCTTTACTTTAAGAGGAGAGGGTGAGGGCTCCAAGTGTGAATACTGAATGAAGGTGCTACATCATTATTTTGTTCTCCCTGCAGGTCACATCAATAATCTTTATAATACAGTTTTTTGGGCACTTATACAGCAATCTGGACTAACACCAATACAAGCCCAAGAGAGATTACAGGTATAAATACATTGATACTTAACTGGGGACAGTTTGATGGGGGCTTTCTCCTAACAATTTATAAATGTTCCCTTCACATTCTTTTTTAACTCTCTTTACAGCTTTATTTTGAAAGGATATAAAAACCATAGTAGTAGCAGCTCTGTTTTTCCTTGCTCTGTAAGCCTGGAGAAGTTACTACTACTCCCTGAGCCACTGTGTCCTCAGCTAGAAACTGGAATTAATGACACCGTCTGTGCATTCCTAGCTCCTGACACTTGGCTAGAGCTGTGTACTGGCTGCCTTGTGTAAACACGGCATATGCTCTTGTTTTTTTGTGAGTCCTACCAGGCCTCTGGCTTCATTGCTATTCCCTACTGGATACCTATAGTTTCTTAAGAGTCCATGCTTGGAGGTCAAAGAGGCATATCAAAGCATGTTTCTGTTTAATTTTATCCACTCTGCTTCAGTTCTTTTGGGGTGAAATGTAGAAAACGGTAGTTCCTACCTCACAGGTTTATGGTGAGAATTCAGTGTCAAGATGCATATAAAACACCTAAAATAGTATGAAATGTGTTGTAAGTGCTTAATAAATAATGGTTTTATTAGATAATAGTAATAAAAAAGTATTACTTATAGGATGACTAACTGAAATGAGGTAATATGCTGTAACAGTTCCTAATGCAGTGCCTGATACCTTGTAATTACTCAGTAAATGGTTGCTATCTTTGAGAATATTAATGATATTTATAGCAATAATAGAAATACCAGTGGGTATATCCAGGTTTGGGAGAGCCAAGTTCAGATTTTGATTCTTAGGAGAATAAGGACAACCTTCAACCTGGAGCAGTTTGTATAATCTTTCTTTTTTTTTTCTTTTTTTGAGACAGAGTCTCACTCAGTCTCCCTGGGGTTGAGTGCTGTGGCATCATAGCTAGGAGCAACGTCAAACTCTTGAGCTCAAGCAATTCTCTTGCCTTAGCCTCCCAAGTACCTGGGACTATAGGTGCCTGCCCACCTGTTATTTTTTTAGAGATAGATCTCACTCTTGAGATAGATCTCAGGCTGGTCTGGAATTCTATTTTTTTAGAGATAGATCTCACTCTTGAGATAGATCTTAGGCTGGTCTGGAATTCTGGAGCTCAGGCAATCCACCCACCTTGGCCTCTGGGAGTGCTGGGATTATAGGCATGAGCTACCTCGTTTGGCCTCTATATAATCTCTCTAATCTTCAGTTTTCTCATCTCTAAAATGGAAAGAGTTGTGATGATCACAAAAGAAAAGAAACATCACGTACCTCGTACCTGAGAGGTATTCAGTGACTGTTAGTTCTTCCCACCCCTTCATAGTCTTGATTTGTGAAGCCAGTATTTGCTACAAAAGAGAATTTTATAACTATAGATATCTAAATAAGATTTGAGTTTTTCATAAAATGACAATTCATTAGTGACTGTAATGTATTTGATAGAATCCTCCTACTTATTGATTTGTTGGTGGAAGTTTAGATAGCAGTTGAATGGATGGTAATGTTATAGGAGAAAGAAGGCATTTGAAGCTTTTTATATCTCTTTTTATTTCCTCAGGGAACTCTTGCAGCAGAAAAGAATGAGATTTTGTTTTCTGAATTCAACATCAACTACAATAATGAGCCTCCCATGTATAGGAAAGGGACTGTGTTAATATGGCAGAAGGTATGTTTTGTGGCAGAAGAATATTGTTATGTTCAAAACAAAAAGCAGGTCAGGAAAAAAGAGAGCCTGGGCCCATGGCACACGCTGTCCTGCCCACCCCCTGTGTGCTAACACAGACGAGATCCTTTCCAGAAAGAGATGCTGTCGGTTCTTACTTTGGATGCTCATTTTGTCAGTCAGTAGTGGTCGAGCATCTCCCATATGTAAGTAGAGTTACAGAATACAGAATTAGTACACTTATTTTTCTGTGTCATAAGCTCTCCTTTTATCAAATAAAACCTTTTCAAAGAGGTGTGTGTATATAAATATGGTGCAGATAGGGGACTTTTTGCATTCACAAAACAGTTAAACAATAATTCTGCCCACATTAGATAATAGCATGAAATGGTCCATCCATCTCATGCCAACTATAACATAAAGCACTTAAGAGATGTCGTATCTGATACCTGTAACTTTCAGAAATTTCATGAAGTTCCCCAGACATTCATACTTAATCATAATATCCTGATATAAGTCTGTGCATTTACCCACATCCTTAATTCCACCCAGATTTTCTCTCTCCCAGCTCTTGAGCATAACAAATTCTCTACATTTATTTCCTTCTGTGTAAAGTAGTTTTTCTTTTTTCCAAAATGAATGTTTTCAAGTACTAACAGGTACCTTCGAGAGCTTGTCATTCTATTGGTAATTTTACCTTCTTTAGTATTCTCAAAACACATTTGTTCTTTGGCATAAACGTAGATAGTTCTTAATTCAGGTGGGAGATGAGAAATATCTTTAATTCCATAGTCACTACTAATGAGGAACATCAAATCCCTTCTTTGTTCTTAAAATTTCTTTTTAGAATTATAGTAACATAACCTTTTAAAAAGTATTTTTAATTATATAGCGCCGTATGCATATTGATACACATATCCGTGTATGTATAAACTGGCAGTCAGAAAGGTATAAAGTAAAAAAGTGAATTTCCCCCACATCTTTCCCTCTTCTCCCAGTTCTACTCTTGAATTAACAGTTATCACTATTTTTTACCTGTAGGTGGATGAAGTCATGACAAAAGAAGTTAAGCTACCAGCAGAAATGGAAGGAAAAACGATGGCAGTGACCCGGACCAGGACTAAGCCAGTGCCCTTGCACTGCGATATCATTGGGGATGCCTTCTGGAAGGAACATCCAGAGATCCTAGATGAAGACAGCTGACCCTTTGCTCTTTAGTTCTGGCACGCTTAACCATGCAAGCCCCACTTTCCCCACATCTCCTTCAGTGGTCCTAGCATCCCTACCACCCTGAATGCTGCCAAGAATGACTTGAGTTGGGAGGGGAACAGGGAAGAAAGGGATGGATGGGGGTGGCGTATCTTGTTCTGCTTAAGCAGAACACCTTTTTTTTTAAAAGAAAAGAAAAGCAGTGTTGGAACATGGTTCCTTTGGTAGAAGTACATTTTTTTTTAAAAACTGTGGTACTATTTTTATAAAGCAAGAACTATTTCATGCCTTGCAGAATGAATCATTTTTAGATTGTGACATAAATCTTATAAAAACCTGTCAGCTCTTTTCATCTATCCTAGAAGAGGAGCCCAAACTTTATCACCTACCTGTTCTTAACTAGGGAACCCAGTGACCTTGAAAATCTCAATTCTGCCTCCAATCTGTTTGCATTCATCTTTGGAAGACCTGAAGATAAACATGGGTTACTGCCTGCATGATGCCTCTGAGTTCAGGAATTTCAGGGAGAACTCAGGGCTTTGTGCCAGTCTCCAGGATGGCAACTTTGGCTGAACAAATGAGTAGTGGTTTGGATGTCCACGGGTGCATGTTCCATGGAATGATTTAATGGGAGTTGTCAGCACGATCAACACTGTCATCTTCCTGGGGGCATAGTTTCCAAGGCCACTCAGAGAAGACAGAATTATGTGTGTATGTGAGAGAAAAAATGTGAAAATGAGTGAATGAGGATGGAAAATTACTCCATGTCCTCTAGATACTTCAGTTTTAAAAGTGGCTTTTCTCTGGACTACCTGAAAATGATTTTCAGGTAGCCTCTGTATCAGAACAGTGATATTTGACCCCCCTCAGGGTCACAGCCATCTGCTGCTAGGCCAGTGGAGGTGGGTGAAGAGCAGTATAGGTCATTGCTCGTTGCCAAGGTGTTGGCCTCTGATGGGGGAGGTAGTGGGAATAGGTGGTGAGAGAACTCATATTTCCTCTGTCCCTGTTTCATATTTTAGAAGAACATTACTTGGTTCTATTAAGAATTAAGAGGCCAGGTGTGGCGGCTCACACTTGTAATCTTAGCATTCTGGGAGTGTGAGGCAGGTGGATTGCCTCAACTCAGGAGTTCAAGACTAGTCTGAGCAAGAGTAAGACCCTACTTCTAAAAAATACAGCTGGGCGTTGTGGCAGGTGCCTGTTGGTCCAGCTACTTGGGAAGCTGAGGCAAGAGGATCTTTTGAGCCCAAGAGTTTGAGGTGGCTGTGAGCTATGTTGCTTACTCGAAATGGCACTTAACCCCAGGGTGTGTAAGTGATGCTGTCTCAAGAAAAAAAAAAAGGGAGAACCCATGTCCCAGTACATTGCAGAATTTACAGCCAAGAAGAAAATGTATTTTTGAAAGGGTGGTGGCTGGCCTCATCCTTCACTAATTGACATCCCATCTGTCGATGCCATTTTTTCCCTTCCTGTTCTCCCAACTCTACAGGAATAGGAGATTTTGCTCTCATTTGGTAATTTCTAAAATCTCAGAAAAAGTGTCAACTCCCTTGGTGTACTTTTTTATTTTTCTTGTTTAAATACAGTATATGAATCTGATTTTTGTGTATGTCTTTCGGTAAGCCAAGATACACATACTTTCATCACAGCCATGGTTTACAGACTTACGGATGCAAAATCACTTGGAATGCTTGTTTAAAAATTCCAATTTCAGGCTCTTCTATGAAGAATTAGGGCTCAGCAATCTGACTTTTTAACCCCAGAGGCTTCACAACACCGTGGACAATGAGGTGCTCAGTATATGGTGATAGACTAGGCAAGGCAGTAAGATAAAATAGCTCTTAAGGCTAAACCGACAGGATTTTATATCAAAACTATAGGTATGCATTAAAGTACAAATTTTTAAGGCCAAGCACAATGGCTCATGCCTATAATCCTAGCAGTCTGGGAGGCCAAGGCAAGAGGACTGCTTGAGCTTAAGAGTTCAGGAGGAGCCTGAGCAGGAGGGAGACCCCCTCGCTCCTAAAAATAGAAAAAATTAGATGAGTGTGGTGGTACATGCCTACATAATTCTGGGTATTCGGGAAGCTTAAGCAGGAGGATCACTTGAGCCCAGGAGTTTGAGGTTGCAGAAAGCTATGATGAGACCACTGCACTCCAGCTAGGGTGACAGGGAAGACTGTCTCCAAAAACAAAAGTGCACATTTTCAAGGCAAAACCACCCAGAAGAACTTTGTGTTTTATGTGATTCTCTAAAGGCTATCCTGCTATTCTCTTGTAAGATGAGGATAAGCATTTGTTGAATTGCCAGCAGTTCTGCAGCTTTGAATTTTTTGTATAGGCCGGTGGTGGTGGTGATGGTGGTGGTGGTGTTTTGAACAATGTGATAGGCTCAGTTTAATACTATACCATAATAAAACCTGTAATGCTATTATTTAGAAGCCACTGCTTGGGGTGGCACCTGTAGCTCAGTGGGTAGGGTCAGCTGAAACAATGACAACTGCAACAATAAAAACAACAAAAATAACTGGGCGTTGTGGCAGGCGCCTGTAGTACCAGCTACTTGGGAGGCTGAGACAAGAGAGTCGCTTAAGCCCAAGAGTTTGACGTTGTGAGCTGTGATGCCATGGCACTCTACTGAGGGCGACGTAGTGAGACTCTTGTCTCAAAAAAGAAAGCCACTGCTTGATGGTTATTTGAATACTATAGTATGTATTCATTCCAATGTATATTTCACAGTTGTATATTAATCTTTATCTTATTCTGTAAGGTACTCTATAGTATTCTCTTGGGTTTTCTTTCCCAATCTTAAAAAATACATATATGCAAAAGCTGCTACTATACAGTTGGCCCTTTGGGAGAGTGTTGGCAGTTAGGAAGGTGATATGTAGTATGTGTGGTCTATAGGTGAAAGGCTTTGCGAGACAAGAAGGTAATATTTGGGGCTTCAGTCTGGAGTAATATCAAAAACAAACAGTGTTTGTTAATACTCCGGATTTTGGGGGAACTGAGGCTATAAAGTAACAAGTGGTATGATCCGGTCTTGTGAATCTTACATGCTCCTTGTTTCCTTCAATTGTTTAGTAGTGCTTTGAAAATCAGTGATATAATCGATTTTCTTTGACACTAAGGTGTCTCCAGTCTTAGTGGAAATTAATTTATGCATAGGGTACAGGAAATGCAGAACTGATGTCCACCTATCCTTCATAGTTCCATTGTACAGTTAAACTATTGGCTAACATGTATTTATTCTGTGCTGTATATGCTATATCTTGGGTTCTCTGAGGAAGGTACTATTTTTACCATGTTTCAGGTGAGACATTCAAGTGTCCAAGAGAAGCTAAATAATTTGAGCCCAGGTAGCCGAACTTCCCTCCCCTCCAGCCCGGTACTATTCAACATGAAGACAAACTGAGACTTGAGTCTCACTTTATGGCCCTCGGTAGAGTGCTGTGCCGTCACAGCTCACGGCAACCTCCAGCTCTAGGGCTTAGGTGATTTTCTTACCTCCGCCTCCCGAGTAGCTGGGACTACAGGTGCCCGCCACAACTCCAGGCTATTTTTGTTGCAGTTTGGCCCGGGCGGGTTCTAACCCATCACTCTCGGTATATGGAGCCGGCGCCCTACCCACTGAGCCACTCTTTCCCTCATCCCCGCCCCACCTGCCAGCTCAAGCTAGGAATAGGTTGCCAGTTGCTGTTGAAATGCTGATCCTGGGCTCCACAGCCTGGAAATCCGGAGTATTAACAAACACCTTATAATGATACAGATAGGGAAACAGTGAATTACAGAGGATTAAACATCAGCTATGGCATTAACCTGACCCTTGTGGGAGAGGCGGTGTTAGGCCCGGGCAGGTCGGAGACCAGCGCCACGCCCCCAGCAGAGGCAGACTGTAGACAGATGTTGCCCCCTGGCGGCCGCGTCGCGTAGTGCACCCTCTCCGCGCCGCGGCTGCGCCGTGCCGCCCTCTGGCGGCTCCGCTCCTTCTTCCCATCGGCCTCGGCTTGCGGGCCTTTCAAACATGGAGGAGCGGGAGCGGGGGGCGAGGTCGGCTCGCGCCGGGAGCCCCGCGCGCCCGCCCAGCCCGCGGCTGGATGTCAGCTCTGACAGCTTCGACCCGCTGCTGGCCCTGTACACGCCCCGCCTGCCTCCCATCCCCTACCCCAACGCCCCCTGCTTCAACAACCTGGCAGAGTACGAAAGCTTCC